AGGGAAGCAATTTGAGCAGAGAGAACACCTTATAAGATAGCTGCAACAATTTCCACGCATTGAGGAGAATGGAAGAACTGATCAAAACTAGGTACTCACAAAAAGCTGGGCGGATCGATGCCACAATACCGCAACGAAACCCATCTATATCATCCTACCTCCTCCATTTGACTTCATCTATCAAATCTCTCCAAGCCTTAGCTACCATCCTCTCTCGAATCACTACCCAGATCTATAGAATGTCTCAGATGCCTCTATAATAATAAGGACGATCGAAGAAAGCGATATGGGTGAAGATACTGTCACAATATCAATGCATTGGTTTGATTTCGAAGAAAGAGAGGAATTCAGCGAACAAAAGAAGACGTATCCAATGTAAGCCTCGAACTTAATGTATCATGAGGCTAAGATTTCAGAAATATCTTGCGGTGATACTCCTCTCACCGACTTTCTGACTTGAATTCTGCGATAACATGATAATATTTTGTTCTGATCACCTCATCACTATTATTTACACTAATTCAAGCACGATCTTCTTTTCATAAATGAATTAATGTAGATTACTAAAATGCTGAAAAATTCCATTTAATTCATGCGGCATTTGAATTTCAACGAAAAATTTAGCGCCCACTGGCACTGGTAAGGCTCACTGGCTCTTGGAGAGGAACTTCTTGATTTCGGCAGGTTGCGACGGCGATGATTCGAAAGTCCTTCCGCGTTTATTCAACTCCTGTCCCTTTCACTCAACGGCTGTCCAATCAATTCAAACGGGGCAGAGCTGCAAAATCAAGAACAATAAATAATAACCTTTACCAAAAGCATACATAGTTGGGAACAAAATTACCGAAGCTACGGAACATAATATAAGATGTAAAAAGGGACAATACATAAAAGGATGTAATTAGTAAACTCCAATCCTCTTCATGGTTGACAAATGCCCAAAAGAATCTGCGGGAAATTCCCAAACTGGATCAGAAAAAAGAAACGAAATACTGGAGAAATATGCGCGCATTCAGCAAAGACGGGAAATACACGATCTAGACCCAAAACGGACTGATACAAAAAGGGGAAACAGAATAAGAGTTACAAAGGAATTTCATTTGAATCCTCCTAACACTTACCTGGCAACAACTGGAGAAGGTTCCTCAGAAAATAATTTGCACAAAATGCGAACTGTGGTAGTACCATATACGACCAAGCAAATAAACTGCAACGATAACAAACAACTAAAAAAGAAACAAAAAAACCAAGATGAAAGTTTTTATAATATCCCAACATTAAAATCAATGGCAAAGAAGAATAACTAACACGCTCACCGAACTATTCATTAACAGAATACCATAAACACTTACCTGTCAGTGAGTCTTCAGGAACCACAATGAATAAAGCCGAACGTTAGGAGTGTGATATAATA